CCACCCGCGACCCACCTCGTGACCCCAGCCGCGACCCAGCCACGACCCAACAGCGACCCACCCGCGACCCATTTGCGACCCACCCGCGACCTAACGAAAAAATCGGCGCCCGCGGCGGGCTCGATGATGATTTGTAAAACTTTGGCGCCTGCGGCGGGTTACTCCAGAGTCTCGCAGACTGCCGACGCACCCGCCGCCCCCTCACTCTTATCCGCATATGCGGGGTGTTTGGTAATACTTAGCAAGGTCCTTGAGCGAAAATGCGAGCAGCAAGAATAGCACTCGTATTAGTACCCAGTTGGCAGTAGTCGTCCTAGAAGTGCTTGTATAACTAACACGAATTGTTGTAGTATCACAAACAGCCACAGGAGTAGCAATATTTAAAATACGATTAGTAATGCGAAGAGTAATCATAGTAGTCGTAGTTATGATTACTGTTGCAGTGCAGCCACAGTAGTAGTGGTAGCGGTAGTTTATGGTGAGTAGGAGAAGAATTTTTTAAGACTATTCTCAGTCGTAGTATTGGTATGTACTGACAATAGTTTTAGTTCTTCGAGAGGAGCTTGAATCCGACGCTTCTCCTAACCGCCCCCGTCCTATACGGTTCCTACTGGAATCCCTAATGGAAATTTGGTTTTCGCCGGCCGTCCAAAGGGGTGGCCCATCCCAGGGCATCGCGCCCGCCCCGCACGGAGCGTTATCTTGGCACTTGCTAGCGCGGAAAATGATTCATTCCCGCCATCCGACCAAGCGATAGAAGTACGCAGAAGTAATCGCGCCGGCAAGACCAAGCATAGTTTTGGGCGCAGTTAGACAGGTCATGAGAATCATTACCCGTGGTTTTACTAGTAGCGACGGCCAGTGATATTTCGCAACGCCAGTTGTAATGCTTCGAGATGGAAGGGGTCGAGTCGAAAGCTTGCTTTCTATTCCTGCCCACTGCCCCCGCCCTATGCGATTCCCCTCTTACCCTTAATCCGAATTTGATTTTCGTCGGCCGCCCCGCGGGGTGGTTCGTCTTACCAGGGCCCGAAGCCTGGCGAAAAGACGCCCCGAAAAAAAGTGCAGCGCCCAACACCTGAGTGCCTGGGAGGGTCGGCGCGCGCGGCCACCCTCAGGCGTCGTCGAGTTGCGCAGCCGGTGCCCTCCCAGCACCGTGCCCGCTTCTCTAGGCCTCTTGGATGTCAAGCAGTGGCGAAGCTCACTGGTCCTAAACATACCCTTACCCCCGGTCGGCCTGGGTGAAAAAGGGCCGTCCGCTGGATTGGGCGCTTGCCACTGCGCCCGATCAGCCTGCCGCGTGCGCGCTCGTTCAGCAACCGCGCGTCAGGACGCAACGACGCGCTGAACGGCCGGTTGTTTGATTGCAGCGACATGCCCTGGTTTGCGTCAGGGACGTCTGTGGGCATCGGGGGTGTCCGCGGGGTGTAGAACAACATTGGAGTGGTGGTGCCTGTCCCATTTGGGGACAGGCACTACCGCTCCGTTGCGTTTGGGCCTGCCCGCAGGAGCGTCGTTGCAATCTCACGCTCCCCCGGGGGCCGCTGCGGCGGCGTTCGGGGGCGCTCTCGGGGGCCGCGCGTGCGCCCGAAAGCGATTTCGACCAAACGCCACTTCGACTAGGTACGGGTACGTGTCCGGGGGCACCATCAACGCGCGTCGGCGACTGTGCCCCCCGACACGTACCCGTACCTAGTTGGGGTGACGCCAGGCACGTTTTCCAGGGAGCAGCCCCTGGCGACCGCGCCTGGCGTTCGGAGTCCCAGGCGTTTGGGGCGAGCGCGGGATTGGAGCGGCGCCCGCCCGGGACACCCATGGCGCATTTTGCACGTCGAGCCCCAAACGCTTGATTGTGCGTTCGTGGGCGCACCTCCGAACGAGCTATTCTAGCCCGAGAGCGACCGATGCGCAGTCGGCCACTCTGCCGATTGGAACGCGGGCGCCTTCGGTGCCAGCGCACGCCCAGGGAAAACATTGTCCTGCAATGTCCCATGGCCCGTCGCACCTGCACTTGTGCAACCGCCGTCGGCTGCAGCGCGTCGCTCCCCCCGCCCCTTGCCACCCCGCCCGCGTAAGGGTACGGGTGTCTCTCGCGCTCGAGAGAAGCGTCCTGGCTCGCCTAAAGGCCCACCAAATAATGTTATGAGAACCGTTTGTGGTCTGCAGGAATTGTTAATGGAGCTTTTCTGGCCGACATTTTTTTGTTTCAACGCATGGGGCTCATGTTATACGAACACTGTTGTTGTTCTTGGAACGTTTCTGGGTTCTCAGGACATGCCAGGACCGTCGGTCCCTGTTCAAAGATGGGGTCGGAGGATCGCGATGCGGCTCGATGTGCGGCCCAAACTTCTCCACGCCGACGTCGACGATGCCTCGCCGACGTCGCCAGTGCATGGCCGATGCGTCGGCGATGCATCGCCGATGCATCGGCCATGCGGCGAGATCCTCCAACCCCACCTGCTCGGACCTTGTCAGGGGGGCTTCTGGCTTCACCCCCCCGCCTCCAGGGAGGAGCGGGCCCTCGGGCCCCGCCGGGGCCCAGGTCGAGGTTTTCTCGGGGCGCGAAGGCGGGCCCGCGGGGCTCGAGGACGCGACCTGCCCAGACCACCGCGGGTCACCACGAACTGACGAGGGCTCTCAAAAAGCAGCACGATTCAACTCGGTTACCACCCCACCGTGAGCAGCGGCACTGTTCGGAATGGCTCGCCACTGCCATCCGGCACAAAAGTTTCTACAACGGTAACATCTCACAACGATTCACGGATGTGGCTACCTCGACGCCAGGCTTGTCGCCATTATCTGCCTCTGGGGGCCCGTCTTGGGCCGCGGGGCCGCCAAAAGACACGTCAGGATGAAAAACCGGTCCCGGGAATGGGTCGAGACCCCTGCGGGTCGACGTCATGAACAGAACATGACGTCGGGGGGTTGGGTAGAGAGAAGAGGGGGGGTGAGGATCGAGGAAGTTCGAGGATCCAGGAGTGTGGTTGTTCGGGGGGGGTCAAGGAAACTTCCTGTGACCGCGGCTGGATTCCCACTAAGACTCTGGTCGGAAGGCGCCCCAGGAAGGCCCCCTCGGCGATGCATCGGCGATCCAGAGGCGAGCCGACGCTTCCACGTGCTACCTCGAGTGGGCGCATTCCGATCTTTGGGAGCGCGTCGCGGAGCACAGCTGGAGCGGGTTCCTCACTGCGCGATGGGTCAAGGGCCAAACGACTGCCGAGGAGGCGCTCGCCGGGGGCTTGTCCGAGGCGGACAGGGCGGGCAACGCGGCCGCCGACCGGCTGACGGGCGCAGCGGCTAAGGACCAGTTCCCCCCGCTAGCGTTCCGCTTGGAACGCGACTTCCAGCTGAGATTGCGCTGCCCGCGGCGCAGCGTGTGTTCGCTGCGGTTGAACCGGCGGCTTTGCGCTCTAACCACGAGAGCCGTGGAACAGGCGGCCTGCGCGCGCGCCGCCGCTGGACTGCCGCGCGCGGGCCCCGCGCTGCCAGGGTTCGCCGCCGCCCGCAGCGGCCTGCGGCGCGGCGCTTCGGCGGTGCAGTGGGCGCAGCTGTCGGCGAGGCCGTGCCCGGGTTGGGCGGCGCTGCCCTCGCGGGCAGCCGTGCTGCTGCTGACGCCGGCTGCGCGCGCCGGCGGCGGCGCGGAGACCTGGCGCGCCACCTTGCGCGCGCGCCTGCAGGCCCGATCCGGGCCGCCGGATAATCAGTTAATTCGGTGCATCTCCCCTCCCTCCCCCCTCCTCCTCCAGTTCCCTTCGGCCGTGGGGCGCCCCATTCGCATGGTAAGCACGTGCGCGCGGCGTTTCTATTGAGCACAGGCTGGGGAAAAGTAGGCAAATATTGAGAGCGGTAGGGGAAGACGATCGTCCAGAATATATTGAATAATACAGGTGAATCCTGGGATTTATGTCTGTCTGTTTGTTCGTATGTCCCTGGGCCCCGTCACTGTTTCCGCGCGCCTGTTCAAGCTGACGGCGCCGAGGCGTCGGCGATGCGGCGCGATCCTCGGGCCCCTTCTGCTCCAGTTCCACTTGGGCGCCCACAAGACCTTCCTCCCCCCTCGGTTTCAGACCGCCTGTGACGTCCACCCCTCCGACGTTCCAGCTTCGCCGAGTGCGCCAGCCCTGCAGGTCTTCCTTTTTTCCAATCACGTGCGCAGTCACCATGCGGGGGGAGGCGAGGGGCGTTGAACATGGAACCAGGTCGTCGCAGAAGGGGTCGGTTTGGCCATGCCCGACATGACATGACCCTTCCTGTTCGTTCCTTTGTTCCCCCTTCTTTCAAACCATCATTGTTTTTCTTTATGAGTGATGCAGTCACCCAGCTCACCTCGAGAGCGAGGTGCGAGAGGCGAATTCAACATGCCGCTGCGGTGATGATCCTGTTTTGTTGTGCAGAGCGCCCTCGCAATGTTTGTGTGTATACACATGTATGTATATCGGGCCCCTCTGTCTCTCTCATCTTGACGGTACGGGTGCTTCTCAGTCGCCCGTGCTTTTGCTTGCTCCTCCCCATTGTTTATCACACGCTAGATAGGATATCGTCCCTCTGTCGGTGATTGCATCCTCTCGTCATTTTGATATATTTTCGTTTTTTGCATTTACCTAGCCGTACAACATTATCTGCCCAATGCGTGCATCTGTGTGTCTCTCTTAGTTTCAATGTATGGGTAAATAGATCACTCTCTCTATATCATTCGCTCTCCTTTTATATACACATATATGTATGTGTTTGTATGTGTCATTTTCTTACTCATCATATATACATGTTCATATATATATATATGAGCGTATGTACACATAACTTGTTATATCCCCATATTGTTTGTGTTTTGTTTGGGTTCCTTTATACTTTTTCTCAATGTATCACTATTTCCTTCTCGGACTCTCTGTGCTCGTATCTTTCTGCCCCAGAGCCTCCTGGCCCTCCTGGTAGGACATCTGCTTTGCTTCGTCTATCTCTTGTGCGACCCTTTTTTTGCAGAGATGGCCACGCTTGGGCAGGTGCAATCCGGCGAGACAACCGTACAATGTACGCGTACGGCAATTACGACCATTACTACAAGCACCGCCAGGACAGGTTCGCGACGGCGGAGGGCTTAGGATCTCCCCACGCGCATGCCCCCACACGGCTGGGACGTGGACTCGAATGTATCGGCTGCGTTTTCACAATGCTCGACGGAGGCGGTGTGGCGTCCTGTGGTGTGGAGCTGCTGCTGACGAGCGCCCCAGGCTGACTCGGAATACCTCAAGCAAGAGCTCGGCGTCGGAGGTGGAGTGAAGCAGCGTCCTCTGCGAGGGGCCCTTTGCGGAGGAGCGCCTCGGCTTCGAGCGCCCAGGGTCTGAGGTCAGCGCCAGGCCAAGGGCGTTGGAGCCTGTTTCTGTGGTGCATGGGCCATAAGGAGCGTTCTGGCCCCCGGCTCCTCCTCCTCCTCCTCCTCCTCCTCCTCCTCCTCCTCCTCCTCCTCCTCCTCCTCCTCCTCCATAACGTAACGCCCTTCCCCCCCCCCCAGTGCGCCCCAGGCCTTGCCGCCATGCGCGTCGGGATCCGCACACAGGCGTACGCATAGGGGTCCAGACCGCATTTGGAATCTCGTGGCGATCCGCATACGCATGCGCATGCGCATCTGCATATGGATCCGCACGAGGATCCGCGCAAGGATCCGCATAGGGATTCGCACAGGGATTCGCATGGAAATGCGCATGGGCATCCGCATGGGCATCAGCAACGGGAATCGCATCGAGATCCGCATGAACATCCGCACAGGGATCCGCATAGCGATCAGCACAGGGATCCACATAGGGATCGACATAGGGATCCGCATAGGGATCTGCCTAGGGATCCGAAAGTGTGACTCTGTGCTCCCGGTGCAAACTCCTCCTCCTCCTCCTCCTCCTCCTCCTCCTCCTCCTCTGCCTCCTCCTCCTCCTCCTCCTTCTCCTCCTCCTCCTCCTCCTCCTCCTCGTCATCCTCCTCCTCCCCCTGCTCCTCCTCCTCCTCCTCCTCGTCATCCTCCTCCTCCTCTGCCTCCCCCTCTGCCTCCTCCTCCCCTCTCTCTCCCCCTCCCCCTGCTCCTCCGCATCGCCAGGTGCACAGGTGCACGCTGCCGTTTCGGCACGAGGCCGCGGCCCCGGGGCGTTCGACCCCTTGCCGTGGCCCCGGGCACGAGGCCGCGGGTCCCTCCTGTGCGGCGCCCTGCCCCTGCTGCTGCCGCTCCTCCTCCTCCTCCTGCTGCTCCTCCCCTCCTCCTCCTTCCTCCTCCTCCTCCTCCTCTTCCCTCCTCCCTCCCTCCTCCCTCTCCCTCCTCCCTCCTCCCTCCTCCCTCCTCCCTCCTCCCCCCTCCCTCCTCGCTCCTCCTCCTCCTCCTCCTCCTCCTCCTCCTCCTCCTCCTCCCCATCCTCCTCCTCCTCCTCCTCCTCTCCTCCTCCTCCTCCTCCCTTCCTCCTCCTCCGCCTCCTCCCCCTCCCCTCCTCCTCCCCTTCTCCCCTCCCCTCTCCCCCTCCTCCCCCCTCCTCCTCTCCTCCTCCTCCTTCCTCCTCCTCCTCCTCCTCCTCCTCCTCCTCCTCCTCCTCCTCCTCCTCCTCCTCCTCCTCCTCCTCCTCCACAATTACTCAATATGAATACTACTCTCCCTCTTCCCCTGATGGCGTCCTGGGAGTTCCCCCCCCCCCCCGCGTACTGTTTTTTACACACAGGATTCCCGGGAGTTGGGTTTTCGCCTGCGTTTTTTTCAAAATGCTGCTCTCGCTGAGGCGCCGGCCTCATTTCTGCTCCCGAATCGTTCCGAATCGTGCTCCCGCTGCAGCGTGGGCCTCATTTTCGGATCGGTGTTTGCCTCCGTCGTTCAGGATGGCGTTCTCGCCCCAGCGCGGGCCTCTTTCTCGCGCGCCCATCCGCCCGCCACCACCGCGCCGCACCACGCCCCGCCCCGCCGCACGCACACCCACCGCCACTTCCACCCACCAACGCACGCACGCACGCACGCGCACCACCACCGCGCACCGCCACCACCACCGCACTACCCCACCCACCACCACCACGCTACACCGCGTCACACCACATCACACGCGCGCACACACAGACACACACGCACGCACGCACACACACACACACATACACACGCACACACACACACACGCACACACACACACACACACACACACACCACCACCGCCACCACCACCACCGCCATCACGCACGTACGCACCTGGCCCACCACCAAACCACCAAGACGCCACACCACGTCACACTACAGCACATGCGCACACACGCACACACACACACACATACACACCACCACCACAACAACCACAACCACGCACACACGCACGCACGCACGCGCACCACCACCCACTACGCACACGCGCGCGGAGCCACAGGTCCGCTACGACACGCGTCCGCGGATAGAGAAAATCAGCGCCATGGTAAGGGATGGGAGGGAGGGGTAGGATGTCAGATGTTGACGCGAGCGCACCTAGCTTGTCCCCCTCCCCCTCCTCCTCCCTTCTCCTCCTCTTCCTCCTCCTCCTCCTTCTGCTGCCGCTCCTCCTGCCCCCCCCCTGGGCCTGCTATTCTTTAGCCGGGCCTGTCCCTCTACAGGAGGACGATCCAAACATAATCAAACATTGTTCCAGGTTTATGTGTTGACTATTGGTGAGGATTTGGGGAGTATTGCTTGCATGTTCTAAATGTTGCGCCCCGAATTTCCACGTAGGGAGACAGGCCCGACCTAATGCTATTCATGGTGCTGACGTAGGTTCGCGCGCCCTCAGGCTGCGTGCTGTTGACGGGTGCTGTGGTGCGCGCAGTGGCCATGGCTTGCTCGGGCGTCGCGGGGTCAAAGCGCGGTGCCGCACGCAGGGCAAGGAAAAACAGTAATCACAATTAACTCACAGGTTGAATTCGATAAGGTCGGCCGCCCCCGCGTTGTCCTGGCACTTGGTCCCGTCGGGACTCCAGATGTGCGCGCGGGCCTTCTGCTGCGCACAGGTATTTCGCGGCTCGTGGCCCCTGGTCGTGGCTCGTACGCACACGCACTGTGGTGCACACAGAAGCGCTACCGTTGCCTGCCCTCCCCGTTCCTCCCCGTTCGCTTCCACCCTTTTGACAGGCGCTGTGGTGCGCGCAGGTGCCATGGCGGGCACGGGCGCCGCGGGCCCGGAGTGCAGGACTGCACGAAGGGCAGGAAAGCACGATGATCACAATCAACTTGTCCACAATTTGAGGAGGAAAACGGTCAACTTGCCCACATAATCACAATCAACTTGCCCACAACCACTCATCACGAAAAACACGATAATCACCCAGGGCAGGAAAACACGAAAACACTTTGATGAGGTCGGCCGCCCCACAATTTTCTGGCATTTGGTCCCGTCGGGACCCCGCTGGGTCCCAGAGGTGCACACAGTCCATGTGGTGCGCACAGGCACTGCACACAGATGGTGCTGAACTGGTCGTGGCTCTTGGTCCCTGGTCGTGGCTCGTCCTCACAGGCACTATGGTGCACACGGAAGCGCTACCATTTTACCTCCCCCCCCACTTCTCCCCATTCCTATTCATTCTTTCTTCCTGGCCCTTTGTACTCTTGCCAGCGCATGTGCGACGTCCGGACTTCGCTGCAAGGCTGATGTGCGCGCGGACGCTGTGGTGGCTCCAGGACACAGACAGCACGGCGTCGTCGTTGCTCCTCGCTCGTCATAGTCGTCGTCGTCGTTGCTCGTCGCTCGTCGCTCGTCGCTCATCGTCGTCGTGCGCGCGGACGCTGCTGTGGTGCCAGAGCCACGCGGTGGGAGGGGGGCGGCGGGGGTGGGGCGCTATGTTATGCCCCCCCCCGCCCCCCTCCCTATAACGCCGGTTATCGCTGCGAATAAAGAATCGCGCTCGTGTTGTTCGGAGCTCGCTCCACGGGAGCTCCCGCGGAAGTTTTTGCGGCTGGCTCGGCGCTGGCAGGCTTTGTGTGTGTCGGGCGGGAAGCAAAGCAGCGCGACAGCACATTGCCCGCCATTGCCGAAGTTCGTCTCAAGGTAGCCCTCTCGGAAGGCGCCGAGGCTTCTCAGAACCCTTCCGGTCTCCTGAGAGGCCTCCTGACAGGTTGCCTGCGTCTTCGGGGAAGGCTTCGAACATTTTTCAGACAGCCGGGGGGCTTCCCACCTTTGAGAAGGCTCGCCCCTTCTCACTTCCCCCCTGGGTTCGCCACCGAGTAATCGGCCTCATCCAAACATACTATTATCATGTATGCGTCGCCCCCCATGGGGCGACGCTCGCACCGAGAAGTCTTACAGTCTATCCGTCGTGACGGGCGTTTTCTAGCCACACCGCTCGGGTAAGGATCTATCACAAGAGGGGCGTATTGGATGTTCGAGTCGGACACGCGCCTTTAAGGAGGACCTGCAGTACCAGCATGTCCTTGTGCGCCCCGGGCAACAGGGGCCAGCTCCATCGAAAGACGAATCGAGCACGGCACGAACACCCACTCTCGGAGCTCTGCGGGGAGCTCTTGGATCGGCGCTGGGCCCGGGGAGGCCCGGCGCAGATCCCCCAAGAAATCCGCGCGGGGGCCTCCGAAAGTTCATGTTGTATGCCGTGCTTTACAGGCAAAACCCCTAGCAAGGACGCGCCACTTTGCTCAGGGTACCCTTGCGTCCTTGCTCTTCCTTGCTCTTGCGTTCCTGGGGTTGTCGTCGTCCGCCGCCCCAAGAACCCCAACTTCGGCTTCCAAGGGTCTTGCGTCCTTACCGCGCGTCCTTATCAGGGTTTTTGACTGTACTCCTCTGTTCCAGCTCTGGCCGGCTTCCCTCCCGTTTGGGTTCTGGCACCGGCGGCCTGACCCCAGCGTGCTTTGGGTGCCCAGCCTCTTCGAGTGACCTCGCCCGTCCCCAGAATTAGTATCTTTGTTAGTGTCCAACGCGGGCTCGATGCGGCCTCGACGCGGATTCGGCGTGGACTCGACGCGGATTCGATACGCGTTCGACACGGATCCGCCGAGTCCGGCATGGTTTCGACACCGATCCGACGCGGATGGTACCGAGAGGGGACAGAGAGGCCCCCCCGAAGATGCAACAGAAGGTGTTCTATGGAGTTCTGGTGGTGGTGGCTCCTCTTGCTTACATGATTCGCCCCGCCCCCGTTTCACTACTCCCCTTACGTTGCGTCTTCGGGGGACCTCGCCTGTCCCCCAAGTTGGTGTCGCTTCTTGTGCCCAACGCGGGCTCAATGCGGCCTCGACACGGATTCGGCGTTGACTCGACGCGGATTCGACACGCGTTCGACACGGATCCGCCGAGTCCGGCATGGGTCTTCGACACCGATCCGACGCGGATGGGGCCGAGAGGGGACAGAGATGGCCCCCCGAAGATGCAACAGAAGGAGCTTTGTGGAGTTCTGGTGGTGGTGGCTTCTCTTGCTCTCATGATTCGCCCCGCCCCCGTTTCACTCAGGAAGGGGAAAAACACAGACACAATGAATCGTCGATCCTCCAGAAAAATAAGGAAATATATGGACAATGGGGGGGAAGACGAACATCCAGAAACATGAAGAATATGGGGAATGCTGGGATTTGTGTATTTACTTGTGTGTCTCAGGGCCCCTTCACTCACTCTCGTCCACGCGCAGAGGGGGGTAAAGGGAGGGGGGAAGGCTTCTGAGACGCACCCCTGCTGCACCCCTGCTTCTTAGAAGGCGCGGGCCTTGTCTAAAGATGTCAGGCCGGCGCCTTCTAAGAAGCAGCCTCCTTCTGAGAAGCCTACCCCCCTCCGCCTGCCCCCCTGTGGGCGCCGCCAACATTATGTCGGGCGTGTCCCCCTACTGGACCCTACTGGAGGGGTTTTCGACGAATAATAACAAAACACGCAAATACCCCAAAAAGGTCAAAAGATACTGAAAAATAATCCCCAGACTATTGTATTATTCTTTTCACTATTTTGTTTTTTCATTTGTCGCCGAAAATCCCCCTGTAGGGGGACAGGCCCGCCTTAACGCCCACACTCCTCGAGCCCTCCGCTCCGCGGGCGCCCGGGCGGCCCCTTCGGCCCCCGGGTGCCGACTCGCCGACGCGGGGCCGCGCCGCCGTGGCGGCGGCGCGGCTGCCGAGGTCGAGCTGGTCTAGGTCGGGCGCGTCCCCCTGCAGGAGGAACAGTTCGGCATCGTTTCACCAGTCCCCATCCCCATCCCCATCTTTCTCTCTCTCTCTCTCTCTCTTCCTCTTCCCATCGCTATAGTTTTCGACGCACTTGTGCTTTAATTATCTCACTCGGCTGCCTATGGCGCAACTTCGAGTATGCCGACGCGTCCTTCAGGATGCATGGCCTTTGCTTGCTTGCACCAAATTGCCGCCCCAGTTGGGGATGTTCCCCTCGAAGCTCGAAGGGGACGACCTATATCCCCATCCAGGGGGGGGGATAACTCGGCCAGTGGGGCCCAGGCCACGCCGCTGGGGATGGGGATCGGTCAAACGATATTCAATATTCAAAAATTGTAACAAAATTAGTCTGGGGATGATCTTTGGGGTATTTTTAAATATTTGTGATGTTTTTTTTTGGGGGGGGGAGGGGGGGGGGGGGGGCAATTTTTTTCATTTTTCGTCCAAAATCCCACTGTAGGGAGACATGCCCGACTCAAAGCTGGTCGGGCGGGGCTGGGGCGAGGACGAGTCGGACAAACCCGTTCCCGGGAGGGTTCCCGGGAGGGCTGGGCCCAGACCGCCGCGAGTTATGCAGCAATCCCGTGCGCCGGGTTTCTCGCCATCTGCGGCCTTTTGGGGGGCCCTTCCCGGGCCGCGGGACCGTCAAAAAGCGACTCGGGAGGAGAGACCAGTCCTGGGGAATGGGTCGCGATTCTTGGGGGTCGACGGCATGAAATATTCGCGAGGTCGGGGGTCTGGGAGGCGAGGACACGGCCGTTCCCGAGCGTTCCGGCACGCTCTCGGCGCGTTCGGGAACGCTCTGAGAAGGCCGCGGCGCTCGATACCGAGCCGCCGGTTCTCAGAGATTCTCGATTCGTACTCACCCGAATTTCGGAAATTGGAAAATGTACATCACCAGTGGCGGGCTGCTTTTCAATCCCAGGACTTTTTGAGGGTCGGGGACGACGGCGGGGTGGTGTGGTGTATACTTTTCCATCGCTTTGCTGGGGGCACATCCAAAAATGTATACACCAGGATCCCGTATACACCAGGATCCGCTTTCCTGTGCGAGTTTCAGTGCGGGGCTGGAAAAGAGCGTCGGTGTATAGAGGTCGGATCCTTAGAATTTGCCCTCGCACTGGCTTCGTCTCAGCTAGGGCGAGGCGGCGGGCGCGGGCGTAGGTCGCGCGCTCTGGGCCCTCTTTGCCAGGGCGGCTGCCCTCCTCCGGGGAAGCAGCGCGAGGCCGCGGAGAGGACGGTGCGCTGCGCCTTCGCGGGGCGCGGTGGGCGAAGTGGGGGGCGGCCTGGTGGTCGTCTTCGGATCCATTGTTTTGCCGATCGGCGCGGGCCCTCGCTTCCCCCCCCCCCAGGCCCCTCCCCCCCTGGAGTCGATCTTGGCTGTTTTTGGCGCCTGTTGCGGGCAGGTGGAGTCTTCCCCCCCCCCCCCCTGCTGCAAGCAGTCGCATGAAGTAGAGGTCTGGAGCCAGACCCCCCCCCTCCCCCCCCTTCCGCCCAATGTCGAAACGTCGAATGAGAAACCGCTCACCCGGGGAAAAGCCAGGGCGCAGACTGGGCGGCCTCCCAAGGGGGCTGGGATCTTCCTACAAGAGGGGGGTTCTGAGGTCAAGCAGTGGCGAGGTGTCCTGGCTTGCCCAGAGGCCCACCGAAGAATGATCTAAGAACCTTGGTGTGCGCGAAATGTTCTTAGAACGCTGCTGGCTGAGACCGTCCTGTTTTAATGCGTCGGCTTTGTTTTCTAAAAGAAAAAGCTTTGGTTGTTAGAACATGCCTTTGTTCTGTGAACATATCGCTGTAGACCTACAAAATGCCAGGACGGCCAGTCCCAGCTCAATGAGGAGGAGGAGGACCGGTACCGCTCAGCTTGCCTTTTTGTTCGCCGTTTTGGGCCTCCTGCGAGGCCCTCGCCGCCACCGCTGGACTCGCCTCAGCTGGCTGGTCGAAACGCACCCCGGGAGAGGTCTTGGGGAGTGGCGGTATCGGTGTTTGGTGTCTGCCCCGGTCCAGCGTCCCGCTCCGTTACCAGGGCTCTTTCACCGTCTTCAGCAGGTACGAAAGGGGTATGGGGTAAAGGTCGGGGGCGGCAAAGAGGGGGGTGAAGACTGGGGGGGGCTGGATATCATGGCGTGGGCCATGATTTGTCCCCAGATGTTATGGCGCCTCTTCTTATTTCAATACGTCCTGGGCCCCCCCACTGGGCCGCGCACATGCCGCCGGCCATGACTTGCGCCCCCCTTCTTGGACGCCCCCCTCTTGGGCGCCCCCGAAAAGGGGTGTGGTGTTATGTTTATGTCCAGGGGGATCCGGCGATATTTTTCATCGCAGATCGCATCGCCTATTTTCTGGAGGGGAAAAACACAGACACAATTAATCGTCGATTCCCAGAAATAGGAAAATATGGGAAGTGTGGGGGGAAGACAAATACCCAGAAAATATGGGAAAATATGGGGTACATGTTTATTTGTGTGTATTCATTTGTGTGTCCTGGGGCCCCTTCATTTTTTCGCGACTGGCACCATGCCCTTCTATGCCACACCCCTTTCCCGACCTCCACACGTCTGCGGGGCGGGGGAGGGGGATGTGGTGGAAGGCGTCCTCCCTGCCTGGTCCTGCGGCCCCAGTTGCTCGCACGATCTCTGGGGACGATGTCTCACGATGTTTGACTATGTTTGAAGATTTCTTGGGTCTTGCTGTCTTGCTCCAAACTCCGCCTGTGGGAGGACGCGCCCAACCTGATACTTGGGGCCAGCAGGAGCTGGAGGCCGGCTGGCTGGCCCTCGATCTCCCTAGGCACGCCTTCTCACCCCCTTCGTTTTCGTCGGCTCCTTCGGCCGTGACAGAGACGAGGTCGACCCGCGCATCGACCAGCTCATGCGCATCAAGGGGGCCTCCATATTCTCGTCCAAGACTGTGCTTGACATGGGCTCCCAGGGACGGGCAGGCAGGGTGTAGTTCAGAGCGTGAAATGCCTACCCCGCTTTCGCTTCCAGGCAAAACCAAGTCATACCACGCGCCTCCTCGTCAAGCGGCCTGACCAGTACAGGCTGCAATTTGGCATCGTTTGGTATCTCTTGGAAGCGAGGGTGGTCAAAAGCGAGGTAGGTTTGTTTTCCCCCTAGTAGTGGCAGGGCAGGAGGGCAGGCCAGGAGGGCGACGAGATCCACGAGGGCAGAGGTGCAGGGACGTCAGGTGGTGGTGGTGCGGGATGGGGTGGGCCAGGCGGGAGAGCCCCCGTTGTTTCAAATGGCCGTGGGGAATCAGAGGGTAGAAGGCTCAACCTCCTCCTCCTCCTCCTCCTCCTCCTCCTCCTCCTCCTCCCCCTCCTCCTCCTCCTCCTCCTCCTCCTCCTCCCCCTCCCTGAAGGAGGGAGGAGGGGGCGGAGAGGAAGGAGAGAGGCGACCACGGTCTTGTCGATTCAGCGTTAAGCCCATGTGGGCATGCGTCTTCTTGCGTGCGCCAGAGCTGAGATTGTAGGGAGCGGGACCGAAGTTGCAACACTCTTCCGCATTGTCGTCTTGCTCGTCCTGGCTGTCCTCATGTCGCTGCCCCCGTCCAATTCCCCCTTTTTGTTATACGGCCTTCCGTAAGAAGAGTCCTCCCTCTTTGCAAGACTAAGCAAAGCGTGTTCGAGGCTGCGACGCTGCATTCGTTGTCGTCGTCGTCGCCCTCGTCCTCCTTTGCCTCCCCCTCCACGGCGAGCAGTCTCCTCGTCCACCTCCGCTTCTACCTCCCCCCTCTCCCCCCTTCTCTGCCTCAGCTTTACGGCAATGACCTTCAACCCTCTCAGGAAGTGAAGCGCCGACGCCGCCTCCCGCTACGACCGAACCTGGTCACGCATGCTCGCTCGCTCCTCCTCCTCCTCATTCTCTTCCTCCTCATCGGAAAACTTGACCAAAAGAAAAGAGTTGAACCAATGAAACGGGACGCGAACCTAAAAGCGGACAAAAAACGAATCCGTGAATTTGGGGACGCACGAACCAGGATGTTTGGGCTCGTCGACCTTGGGAAGCACGGAACATGTTAGCAGCAGAAGTTTGGAGGGTTGGATGAGACGGTTGAGATCGAGGAGGATGCGAATGTTGCAGAGGAGGATGAGGAGGATAAGGAAAAGGAAGAGGAAGTTGTTGATGATGATAATAATGATGTTGATGATGTTGATGTTGATGATGCTGATGGCGATGATGCTGATGACGATCAGGATGACGATGCCGATGACGGTGATGATACGTATGACGATGATGTTGATGGTGATGGTGATGATGCTGATGATGATGACGATACTACTGATGCTGATAGAGTTGATGATGATGGTCATCATGATGATGCTGACGATAATGGCGATGCTGATGCTCGTGGTGATGATGTTGATGATACTGTGGTGATTTTGATGATGATACTGACGAGGACGATGCCGATGACGATGACGACGATGATGATGATGCTGATGATGATGATGCTTATGCTGATGATGGTGGTGATGATGCTGCTGCTGATGATGATGATGCTGATGATGTTGGTGATGGCAGTGGTGGTGGTGGCGGTGGTGATGATGATGAAGGTGATGAAGTGCCTGCCCGCGTTGCCCCGTGACAGGTCGAGCAGCATACAAAGTGTCCCGCCCCCGTGCGCTGCCATGCCACGAGTGGGGTCGAATGACGTTGTTTGGCTCCCCTGCGAAGCCCCGCGGCGAGCAGAATCGGATGTGCGTTCGCCACTCAGGCGGTGCCATGTGAAGGCCAGGGTCGTCTATCAATGTCTCCCGTGAGACCTCAAACCGACAGGACGTATTCTGAGTCTTCCGTACGAATTCTTGATGACTTCTCTTCCATCTCTTCAGTGGCGGAAGTAGGGGGCGTGGCCGACAGTTCAATGGCGGAAAGGTGGGAGGTGGTGGGGGTTGTTGTCAGGGGAGAGGGGGGTCCAAAGGGAGAGGGATGATGGAGATCGCAGCCGCTCTTCGATTCCCCGCTAAGTTCTAGGAGGTTCTGGTTCGAAAGATGTCCCAGAGCATGGCGGGTATGAGTCCACGGTGCTTAGGAGGACGTTGAGGAGGGGGGTGAGGAGAAATATGCCGAGGGGTTTTGGTCGTCGTCGTGGTCGTCACCGTCGCCGTCCACCCTCGTCACCGTCGCCGCCCTCGTCGCTTCAGTCGTCGTCGTCGCCGGTGCCGTCGCGATCTGTGAGTGAGTGCACAAGGCTGTTGTTGTTGGGCCCCCCGCTGAGTTGCCACATGACAGGTCGAGCAGAGTGCGATTTGTTTTCGCCCGCTTGCGTTAAGGCGGGCCTGCCCCTCTACAGGATGAGAATTCCAAAAGAGGCAAACAATAGCCTTGGGATGATTTTCTGATCATACGTGAGCATGCTTGGAGTATTTCTTGAAGTATCTTCCGCCCAAAACCACCCTGTAGGGGGACGGGCCCGATCTGGCGCTTGCGCTGTGACGTGGCCAGCAGACTTGATTCGTATGTGTTCGCTCCCCCCCCCCCCCGGCCTCGCCACGCGGCGGGTATACTGCGCCGCATGCACGCCTTCCTCATCCCCCCTCCTCCCCCCTCCTCCCAATCCTGCCTCTGGCCTCCGAATGCTCTCCTCCTCATCAGCATCATCATCAGCATCATCATGATCAGCATCATCATCATCATCATCATCATCATCATCATCGTCATCATCATCGGACTCATAATCACCGTCATCAGCATCAGCATCATCATCATCATCATCCGCATCATCATTCGCATCATCAGCATCACCATCATCATCAGCATCAGAAACATCGTGGACAGCTTCATCATCAACATCATCATAACACTACCGCCATCATCTGCATCATCAGTAGCAGCAGCATCAGCATCATTATTATCATCAACATCAGCATCAGCATCATCATCACCATCAGCAGCAGCAGCCTCAGCCTCTGCCTCAGCCTCAGCAGCATCAGCACCATCGTCATCATCATCGATATCATCATCGCCAGTATCATCACCATCATCAGCAGCACCAACATCAGCATCATCAACATCATCAGCGACATAGTCGTCCTCATCATCATCATGCACCAGCATCAGCCTCATCACCATCATCATCATCATAATCATCATCATCATCAAAATCACCACCATCATCATCAGCATCATCACCACAGTCATCATACTCATCATCTGCATCATCATCATGACCATCCTCAGCAATGTCAACATCACCATTAGCATCATGATCACTATGATCACGATCATGATCATGATACTGAATATCATCGTTGCCATCGCCACCCTCATCGTCATCATCGTCATCATCATCAGAATCATCGTCCATCGGCATCCAGCACCGAGCGCGCCAGTGGCACAGTGCAGTTCGCATCGGGCACCCCCCCCGCCTGTCTGGCACATCCCTGACACGCTTCGTAACCTCATAGGGAGCGCCTCCAAAGGCCTCGTTGGCACAGTTTGCATCCGACTCCCCCCACCCACCCCACCATTTTGGCAGACTCCTCACGCGTTTCATGGTCCCAATACAATAAAGAGCTCCACCTCCACCTCCGCCCCGCCTGCCCACCAGTACTCAGACGTGCTGATGGTTGGGTCGTTCGCGAGGATAATCAACGTATTTGCCAGGTGCGTTACAACATGGGGAGGGAGGAGGATGAGAAGGCTGAGGATACCTGATGAACGGAAATTCTGGTGATAATGGTCATGACCATGATGAGAATGATGATTCTGATGATGACGATGACGATGACCATGACGATTGTGGTGGCGATGGCGATGATGATGCTGATGATGATGCGGATGCGGATGATGATGATGATGATGATGATGATGATGATGATGATGATGATGATGATGATGATGATGATGATTATGATGATGATGATGATTATGATGATTATGATGATGATGATGCTGATGATGATGATGACGATGACGATGACGATGACGATGACGATGACGATGATGATCATAATAATGTTGATGTTGATGTTGATGATGATGCTGATGATGATGATGATGCTGATGATGATGCTGCTGATGCTGATGCTGATGCTGATGCTGGTGATGACGATGACGATGATGATGATGATGATGATGATGATGCTGATGCTGATGCTGATGATGATGATGATGATGGTGGTGATGGTGGTGGTGATGCTGATGCTGATGATGGTGATGATACTGCTGATGATGATGACGACGATGATTTCACCGGGGGTGCTCATGCTGCTGTTGATGATGGTGATATTTATCATGATGATTGTGATGGTGTTTAATGGTGATGGTGATATGGAAAGACAGATGAGGAGGAGGAGGACGAGGAGGAGGAGGAGGAGGAGGAGGAGGAGGAGGAGGGTTGGGAGGAGGCCTGCCTTCGGAATTTCGAAGGTTGCGCTTTGGTTTTTGGGGATGGGTTTCTCCCTGTTTCCGTGGATGGTTGCTCGGGCTTCTGGTGCTCGTGTGGCCAGCCTTTCAGGGGCTCGCATGTGCGCGCTCCAGAGTTCGTGCCCAGCGTTTCCGGGGGTGGTAGCTCACACCCGCCTCCTCCTCCTTCTCCTCCTCCTCCTCCTCTCCTCCTCCTCCTCCTCCTCCTCCTCCTCCTCCTCCTCCCGCCTCCTCCTCCTCCTCCTCCTCCTGCTCCTCATTCTCCTCTCTCCTCCTCCTCCTCCTCCTCCTCCTCCTCCTCTCTCCTCTCTCCCCTCTCCCTCCCGCCCTCCCTCTCTCCCTCCGCCCTCCCTCCTCCCTCCGCCCTCCCTCCTCCCTCCTCCTCCCTCCCTCCTCCCTCCTACTACCTCCCTCCTCCCTCCCATCCCCCTGAGAGCACAGCATAGGGCCGGGGCTCAAGGCTGCAACACGGGCTTCGTAACCCTGCTGGTGGCCGCGCTGGGCGCCAGCAGCGTGGAGGGTGTTGACATCGACCTCATGCTGATCTCGCAGGCGCTGAGGCAGCTCAGGAGAAGCCTGGTGGGAAGCTGCCGGGCCGCCGCCGTGGTGGGGAGGAGTCGACTAGACGTAAGAGTGACCTTTCGCCGGAGCGACCTTTGGTGCGAGCACAGGTGGGTGTCCAGATGGCCGAAGGCGAAGCGGCAGCAGCGGCCTGCGCGCCCAGGTTTTGGTCCCCGCGCGGCCCCCGGAAGGTCGCGCACCAAAGGTCACTCTTACCCAGGGCCACTCTTGCGTGCAGCGGGAAGTCGGGCCTGTCCCTCTACAGTGGGAATATTCAAAAATCGTCAAAAAATAGTATGGGGACGATTGTTTGAGGATTTTGTTTACAAATTTAGGGGTATTTATTTGGTATTTCTTATATCGCGAAGGCCTGACGGCCGGTGCCGCCGACCCTGAAGAGGACACGACGTCGGCGACGAAGCGGGCGGAGACGGAGGCCGTGGAAGATGAGGAGGAGGCGAGGCGGAGGGAGAGGAGTAGGAGGAGGAGGGGAGGATGAGGAGGAGGAGGAGGAGGAGGAGGCGAGCGGAGGGGAGGGGGAGGGGGAGGAGGAGGAGGAGGAGAGGAGGAGGAGGAGGAGGAGGAGGAGGAGGAGGAGGAGGGAGGAGGATGTGAGGAGTTGGAGGAGTTGGAGGAGGAGGAAGATGAGGGAGGAGAGGAGGAGGTAGGAGGAGGAGTGCGAGGAGTTTGGAGTGGAATTAGTAGAGGAGGAGAGGAGGAGGAGGAGGATGAGGGGAGGAGAGTTCCGGGAGGATGGCGGAGGAGAGTAGGAGGAGGAGGAGTGAGGAGGATGAGGAGGCGGGGAGAGGGGAGGAGGAAGGAAAGGAGGAGCAGGAGGGTGGCCGAAGAGAGGGCTCCGGCGGCGCCAGAAAGCCTCGATCCTTGAGCTTGGGGTTCGGAGTCCGCAGAGTGAGCAGGAGGAGGAGGAGGAGGAGGAGGAGGAGGAGGAGGAGGAAGAGGAGGAGGAAGAGGAGGAGGAGGGGGAGGGGGAGTTGTTCTACAGGTTCAGTCTTTCGTCATTTTCGGCCTCCAGGGGCCACTTTGGGAACCGGGAAGCCGCGAAGGGTTCCGGAACTGCGCGGGGACCGCGCCGGACGCGCGGGGAGTGAAAGCGTATTTGGGTGGCGACCCCTCCTGGGACCCCCCCCCGGGACCCCCCCGGGACCCCAGGACCCTTCCCCGCCGGGCAAGGGACAAAGGGAAGAGGCTTCTTTTTGACGTGGTTAGGACATGGGTCGATTTTTTGTTGGGTATTAATATTTCGTCCAAAATCCCCCTGTAGGGGACAGGCCCGACCTAAGTGTAGCCGAAGGAGGAGGACGACGAGGATGCACATGGCGCAGCCGCTGGAGCTGCAGCTCCGTTTCCCGTGTGCGCCCGCAGCCGGCGAGCTCCCCCCCCCGCCCGCAGTCGCCGCATGCCGGGGGCGCAGCTCCGTCTCATACGCCGTAGCCAATCGGGCGGGTGGTGAGGGGGGGGTGACCCAAAGTGGGGGTGAAGACAAGGGCCTGAAGTGGCCCTTCAGGGAGGGGCCCTTTCGGGCCCCTGGTGGCTCAAAAAGGGGCCCCAAAGTGCTCCGTCGGGGCCCATGTTCTTCACCCCCCGTGTGTAAGTCACCCCCCGCCCCAGGCAGCCCCTGCTGACGTGGGTCAGATCCCCAGGGCGGTCCAGGGCGGCCCCATCGCATGGAAACGCGTCCTCCGGCCCAGCCCCGCGTGGTCCCGCTGATCCGCGGCGAGCCCGGGAGTGAAGTGAGAAGGGGCGGGCCTTCTCGGACGGCTCAGAAGGCCGCTGGCCTTCTGAGAAGTTGTCTGAGCCTACCTCCAGAGCGCAGAGCAACTCTCAGCAGGCCTGGCCCCAGCACTGGAGCAGGGCCTTCCAAGAGGCTCTGGGTATTCCTCCTCCTCCTCCATCCGGCGGCGCCGCCTCCCCCTCCTGCCGCTCCTCCCCCCGCTTCGCGGTGCCGCCTGGCATCGCTCGGACGCGTGTATTTTTTTCCTCGGCGAGGACCCCTGAGGAACACCCTGGATCATCGAGCGAAAAAAAAACACGCACGGAACCGAAACAGATGCATGGGACATGGACGTCCGAGCGACGGCAAGGCCGCTCCGGCGCGCGTCGCGCGGGGCTCCCTGCCCCCCCGCGGGGAGGCCGCCCGGCCTCCCCCAGCCAGGCGCCCGCGCGGAGGTGGGGGCAGGGAGCGGACGACGACGGCGACGGCGACGGCGACGTCGATGCGGGCGACGGCGACGGCGACGACGACGACGACGACGACGACGACGGCGACGGCGACGGCGACGACGACGACGACGACACGACGGCGGCGGTGACGACGACGACGACGACGACGACCACGACGACTACGGCGACGACGACGACGACCACGACGACTACGATTGCGGCGGTGGCGCCCGCGGCGGCGACGACGACGACGATCACGACGACGTCGACGACGTCCCCAAGGAGGCTCAAGCAGGAGGGCCACCGCACGATGCCGACCGCGACGAAGGGGGCCGCCAGCAGGGGCACCTTCTTCCCGCTGAGCCTCGTGCAGTCTGGCGGGGTCCTCGCCGTCGGAGGGGGCGAGGAGAAGCATGGAAGGGGGGGAGGGTCAAAGAGGATCCGGGGGCGGAGGAGGAGGAGGAGGAGGAGGAGGAGGAGGAGGAGGAGGAATTTGCAGGAAGACTGGTCAACAGCAGCACGTGCACACCGCCCGCGGGACAGGAACTAGGCCTGGGGGGCTAAGTTGGCCTCGAGGTCCTGTACCTCGCACAGCTGGAGCTTCCTCGCCTCGCCGTGCCCCACATCCTCCTTGGGATGCCTCGCGCGCCGCAGACGGTTCCTGCGGGTCTGGGCGTTCTTGTCGGCAGGTGCGAACCTGCAGACGTCAGCGAGACCTCTGAGAACCTGTGTAGTGTGACAATCACAGTTATAACAGAAGAGGAACGGCCCCGTCTTCCAGAGAGCGTGACTTCGGAACAGGTTACGGTTCCCCGTGGAGGAGTAGGGGTATGAGGAGGAGGAGGAGGAGGAGGAGGAGAAGGAGGAGGAGGAGGAGGAGGAGGAAGAGGAGGGGGGAGGGGAGGGGGAGGAGGAGGAGGAGGAGGAGGAGGAGGAGGAAGGAGGACGAGGAGGAGGAGGAGGCGGAGGAGCAGGAGGAGGAGGAGGAGTGGGAGAAGGAGAAGGATGAGGAGGAGGACGAGGAGGATGAGGATGAGGAGGAGAACGAGGAAGAGGAGAACGAGGAGGAGAAGCAGGAGGAGGAGGAGGAGGAATAAGATGGGGAGGAGGGGGGGAAACGGAGGTCAAGGAATAACACGCCGAGGCTAAACAAGCAGGACGAGGAGGAGGAGCAGGAGGAGGAGGAGGAGGAGGACGGGGAGAGGAGGAGGAAGAGGAGGATGAGGGACAAGGAGGGACGAAGCAGGAGGAGGAGGAGGAGGAGGAGGAGGAAGAGGAGGAGGTCTATACGGAGGCATGTGGCGGGGTTCGACAGGTTTAGTTGTGTTTGGTGGTCTCCAGAGCGTGCGGACGGAATGAGGAGGAAGAGGCGTACCAACCATGGGGAGTAGTGGGGGGGGGCGTGGCGGGCGGGAGACGAGCACGGCGACAAGCAGGCATCAGCATGAGTACGTGGCACCCCCGCAGTTGCGGATAGGAGTGAGGGGACGGCGGCGGAGGCTCCCAGGCTGTCTTTGCGCAGTTCCCAGTCCCGTCCCAATGTATCGCCCCCGTGTGTGACCCCGCGCGTTGCCACCACTCATTGCCGCAGAGTATTGCCACCATGTTATGCCCCCGTGCACTGCCCCATCCCGAGGCGGGGATTTATCCATAACCACTGCCTGGGCGACCGATCTTCTGGGACATCGCAGGGCGGTGGATATGATAGTCGGGTCCACGGGGTCAAATATACCCATTTCCCATGCCAGCTGAGGTCATAGAAGATCGATGCCCCAGCAGATGGTTACGGATAAACCCTCACCTTCTAGATAGTTTCCCAGTGTGCTGCGCTAACGTGTTGCACCCTGAAACTAGCGCCTTCATCCAGCCACGCGAGCGCAGGGAAAAAACAATAGCGTCTGGGCACCCTCACCCTGACCGGAGACAACAATTTTGGGCTGAAGTAAACATCCAACCACCTTCCTCGCACAGAGACACACAGACACCATACGCTTGCAATCGGCAAAGCCATGTCAGCAGCAGTCAACATGTCAATGCGCGATTCCAGCGAATACGTCGACCAGCTATGACGTACCATTTATCGCGCAACGTTCCCCGAACACGAGCAGTACACATGTTGGAGTTGAAGGGCGTTGTATTGGCTCTAGCTGCGACAAGTTGACGCGTGTTAGCCTACCTAGTGGCCGTCAGCCAGTCACGCTGCAGTGTCTGGGTTGTGGCCACGGGGCGCATTGGGTGGAACGGTGGTTTGGACTGGCGATCGTTTTCTTACTCACGGTTCTGCCGTGCGGCGCGGGCCTTCGCAGCCCCCTTTCCCCCACACCCCCTGGAGTAGATCTTGGCTGTTTTTGGGCGCCTGGCGCCTGTGTCAAGCAGGCGGAGTCTCCCCCACGGGACGCACTGTTCCAAACAGTCGCACCTCGGCGCGGGCCTTCGCACCCCCCCTTCCCCCCCCCCCTCCTGGAGCAGATCTTGGCTGTTTTGGGGCGCCTGTTTCAAGCAGGCGGAGCCTCCCCCACGGGACGCATTGGTCCCAACAGTCGCACCAAGCAGAGGTCCAGAGCCAGACCCCGCCCCCCCCCACCCTCCCCCCCATCTCAAGCACTGGCGAAGCGAAGCGTCCCAGCTCGCCTATAGCCCTACCAAACGATGTTCTAAGAACCTGTTGTGGTTTCCACGACATGTTCTTAGAACATTTATGGCTGGGACCGTCTTGTTTTATCACATCGGGGTTATGTTCTAAGAACATTGTTTTGTCCTTAGAACATTTTTGGGTTCTATAAGAACATTTCGTGGTAGGACTTTTGGAATGCCGGGACGGTCGGTCCCTGCTCAACCATCCGCCCAAAGTCGAAACGCCGAATCAGAAAACGATAACCTTCCTGGCTGTTCGCATCTTTGAGCTTCCTTCGGTGCCAGTGTGGGGCAGCTTGAGTGCTTCGTGGGATTCTAACATGCTGGGGGCCACATCGCGGCCCTCTTGCGTCTGTCCTGGGGCCTCTTGGTGACCTCTTGGGCACCTCTAGGGGGTCCTGGTTGCATATCGGCGGCGAGCGATGGGGGGAAATGAGAGGGAGGCCTTTTCCGAAGGCTCTGAAGTCCCGCGGCCTGCTGTGAAGTTTTCTAAGACAAAAAACTGTTCAGAAGGTGCGAGGGCTTCTCAGAAGTCCCGCCGCCTTCTGAGGAGACTTTCTGCTTTTCATTTCCCTCCCTCGATCGCCGCCGAAAAAGGAGAAACGAAGCCATACCGCCCAACATGGCGTGGGCTAGCAGGTCCAAGAAGGATCTGGGCCCTGAACGCGCACGCCCACGACCTCGCGGTTGCTGAAAGTCATGTCTGAGTTGTTTCTTTTTCTGGCGTTCGACTACCTTGTCGCGATTCTTCCCAGATCCGCATGTAGGGGGACATGCCCGACCCTAGACTAGCGCGTCGAGGCGAACGCAGCAGTGCCCGACGAGGGGCGCCCGCCGCAGAGGCCCGAGAAAGCGCGCAGCGTCAACAATCCTCGCCTGTCGTCACCGGCGCAGGCCTCTGCGGTCGTCGGTCGCCGCCCCCGCGGCCAGTCGCGTGCGGCTGCAGCCCGCGGCGTCGCCGCGGCTGCGGCCGCGGCGACGTCGCCGCCGCCCTGGCCGCCGCGACGTTGCGGCGACGCTGCCGCGCGCGCGGCGGCCGCCGCGCCCGCGGCCGCGGGGCGCGGCTGCCGCGACGACGGCGGCGCCCGCACAGGTCGTGCCCTACACCGCCAAGAGGCTGCTGCTGGACCGCGAGGCGGCAGCCGCCCGTCCGGAGGCCCAGGCCCGCTTGCGCGTGCCGGCGCCGCCGACGACGACGACGACGACGACGACGACGACGACGACGGCGACGACGACGACGACGTCGACGTCGACGTCGACGACGACGACGGCAGCGGCGCCCGCGGCGGCGACGGCGGCGGCGGCGGCGGCGCCCGCGGCGGTTGGAGCGGCGACGGCGACGTCGGGGGGCGCAGGAAGTGGATGAGGAGACGTGGTGGCCATCACGCAGCAGATGGACACGGAGACTTGAAGGAGGAGAAGGAGACAGAAAGGCGACTAGTGGTAGGAGGAGGAGGACGACGACGACGAGAACGAGGAGAAGAAAACGTGAGCCAGCGTTTAACCCAGACAGTATGTTTCTAGAGAGCTACGTGGTGCAATATATGTGGTGCAATTAATTTCTGTTCGCAGTGAGTTGTCCACTCCACTGCTCGCGCAAACATCCCACCCACCCACCCGCAAGTTGGTTCGCAAAATCTCTCAAGACCGTGACGGTGAGTACTAAGTGGCACTTGGCAACGACAGCGACGCCGACGACAGCGAAAACGACGACGACGACGCCGCCGACAACGACGATGACGACACCGACGACGTCTCCAACGACTTCGGCGACGCCGACAACGACGAGGACCACGACGACGACACCGACGACGACGACGCCGCCGACGCCGACGACGACGACGATGACAACGACGACGACGATGACGACGCCGACGACGACGACAACGACGACATTGACGACGACGACGACGACGTCAACGACGCCGACGACGACGACGACGGCGGCGACGCCGACGACGCCGACGTCGACGACGACGACGACGCCGACGCCAACGACGACGACGAAGACGACGACGACGTCGCCAAGGAAGACGACGACGATGGAGGAGGGAGGCCGACCACGGCGACACTGACGACGACGACGACAACGACGAGAGAGGAGGGAGGACGGCGACGACGCGAACGACGAAGAAGGAGGAAGGACGGCGACGCCGACGACGACAACGACGAGGGAGGAGGGAAGACGACGACGACAACGACGACGACGACGACGGCGACGAAATAGGAGGGACGACGACGAGACGCCGACGACGGACGACGACGACGACAAAGGAGGAGGAGGAAGGACGACCACGGCGTCAACGACAACGGAAACGACCACGACGCCAATGAGGACGACGACGACGAACACGAGGAAAGACAGTAGGCGACGACGACGACGCGGGAGGAAGGAGGACGGCGACGACGACGACGACGCAAGAGCGCGCGCGCATGCTTTTGTTGAAAATCCGTGTTGCGAAACTTTACAAAAAATGGAACACACGATGTTGAAATCCTTCCGAAGCCCATGGGTTTTCAAGGATTCCGGCATTCGCGCGCGACGACGCGCGCGTCTGCACTTCGTCCCATTTGTTGCCAAAGATTCTCGCGACGGCACGATCGCAAGTGCGTTCGACAGAGTTCGGCATGCGCGCGCGAAGCCCGTTTGGTAGCATTTTGAAGAAATCTTGAAAACAAAACAAAGACAATGGTTTTTTAATTCCGCAAGAGATCGCGCGTAAGGTTTTTTTGCAAATCAGTGTTGCGAAATCTTGTATGGTTGTATGTTTTCTTTGAATCTCGATTGCTACATCCTTCCGACACCGAAGGTTTTTTGAGGATGTCGGCATGCGCGCGCGACGACGCGCGCGCGTGCACTTCGTCCCATTTGTTGCAGGGGATTCGCGAAAACGTGTCATGTTAGAACAAAAGCTGTCTCCGCGTATCGCTTTTGTATACAAAACAAAAAAAAGGTAACCTCAGGGGAACCGATACCGAAATTCAGAGTTAGGATGGACATGTGGTCATAATCATATATGATCTACGTGTCCGAAAGGGGGACGGATAACGCCCGGGGGGGGGTTAGAGTCTATTCTCTTTTTAGAAAGGAGAATTCATTTGCCGACCTTGAAGTTGTCAACTCCACTGCTCGCGCAATCATCCCATCCACCGACCCGCAACTTGGTTTGCACAACCCATGCGGGAGCGATTGCGATGAGTGCTGGGTGTTGGCTGGTGCATCCCTGCAGCCGCGCATGCCCGCGCGCGCAGCGGCCAGCTAGCTTGGCGCGACCGACGCGAACGCGGTGGCGCTGACCGTTCGGCACATCCCAGCGGACACTTCAGTGCGAGTCGGCGACTTGGGCGGGCGCGGTATCATGGCAACGCCGACAACAGTAGACACGGTGATGATAGTGGCGATGCTGGCCAAGATGTCGACAGCGACGGCGGGGCAGCCAGTGACGGTGCTGATGCTGATCACGCCGGCGACGATGACGGTGTCTTCGCGTCGGCGATGCAGGTTTGGGAAGGAATTCGAAATGCGCGCGCGGCAGACGCGCGAGAGTGGCTCGCGCCGTAGTTGTTTGACGCGGATCGTGCCACCCCAGCACGCGCGCAAGGGCGTCCGAACGATTTCGACATGCGCGCGCGAAGCCCGTTTGGCATGAAAAAGCCGCAAG